AGGAGACCATCATGGATTATCTAAGTGAGCCTTCAGTCCGGTGACAAGTGTTCCGAGAAGAAGCAGAGAAGACAGAGACACAAGAGGAGCAGCACAACTTGGAGCGCTGCGGCCACAAGCCTAAGAAACCAGGACGTGTCACAGCCTCCAGACGCCGGAAGAAGCAGAGAGCGATTCTCCCTTAGAGCCCCCAGAGCCTCCTGCTGGCACCTTGATTTTGGACTTCGGCTTCCAGAACCGTGAGAGTACACCTTCCTGTTGTTTGAAGCCACCCCTCCTGTGGTACTTTGTTTTAGTAGCCCTAAAAACTAGTACAACCCTACTCTTGAACTGGGAAGCTTCATTCTCATACCCTTCATTGCCGGTGGACCTTTGTACACCAAAAAAACTTCCTTTGGAAGGTGTGATTTTAACAGAGGCAAGGAGCCAGACCAGACCAGCAGTGGCTCCTTCTTCTCTGCACTGATTGGCACCCAAAGACACCTTTTCCCACACCAAGAAGGTATATCCCCAGGGTGAAGCAATAAGCAAATCAATGGAGCTCAGTCTTTGGCCAAGGCCCAAAGATGCTGGGAGTGACGCTGGGATGCTGGCGGGGCTCTGGAGGGACGAATGGTTTGGAAAGAGAAAGCAGGGCCGTGCCTTGCTCTGCGGTGGTGGGCGCAGATGTGCAGGGAGGCAGTTGGTCAAACAGGATTCCTAGCTCAGGCTCCCATAGGAGCCTCGGTGCTCGGGAACATTCAGCCTGGCCTTTAGGGTAGGCTTACTGGGGCTGACCCTTGATGGAACTTCATTCATCAAGAGTTTCTGAAAGCACCCCACTGTGTGCCGGCTTTGTTTTGCACCGCATCTTTTTAGGCACTTCCTGCGGTCAACATCTGCATTTCCAGATGGCAAGAAGCCAGCCTACCTCTGGAAGCATTGGTACTTGAGCTCCAGGTCCGAGTACCTCTTCTCCCCTGGGGAGCCCTTCCTCACCCCTGCAGACAAGGCCGGTCCCTCTGCTGGAGGCTTCTTCTTCAGAGGACTGTCAGCAATGTAGTGACAGAACAACCGTGGGGAGCACCCGCACAACATTTTTCTCCCCCATTAGCTGTGTGCACCCCAGTAACTAGCCAGGTCTCTGGCTCACTAGAGGTGTCCAATAAGAAGATGAAGAACTAACCAGGTCAATTCTCAGACCCATCTGAGTTTTCAGAAGGAGAACGTTTTCATCTGGTAGTTTGAAACCCTCTGAGGACATATAGTTAGGGGCCCAGGCTGAATCTCAAGTAAATGAAATAGGATCAAAGGGGAAAGACTCTGGATATAAACAAAAGATATGCAGCAGGAAGAGGTATGAACCCCAAACCCAGGGTTGAACGAGGCCAAAATTTCACAACCCTCCCTCCCCAGGGACTGACCCTTGTGCCAGTTGTTTGAAGTCTTAGCTAAGGTGGCACCCAACACCTCCTTTGTTAGAGCCCCAACTCTTCCCCCAGCTCTACCACTCCCAGACATGAAATTCTCTCTGTGAACAGCATTTGGGTCTGTTGGACTCTAATGACATCCATAATCTCATCAAAGGGCAAAAGGGTTACCTGATTCATCACGACTCCTCCCCAAAGTGCCTCTGCTTATACTAAAACAAAAGAGCGACATGGTAAATCCAGGTTGCAGAGTGGTCGCCACCAGACCTCCTCTGTAAAACAGGGAACTAACAGTGCCCACCTCAGATGGGAGAGAATGCAAACGTGCCTTTGAGCCTCCAGTGCAGTGCCCGGCTGCGCTGGCAGTGCAAGGCGTCATGGGGCTGGCAGTGGTAGGAATCACTGCTGTTGTTAAAGGTAAGGCCGGCTTTTTGGACCTGTCGTGTGGTGAGTCGGTCACTGCCTTTTGCTGGACCTCCTTCCCTGTCCACCAAACAAGCCAGCTGTCCCTGGGTTGCACCAGGGGCAGTAAAAACAACACACCCTGCTGAGACAGGAGCCCTCAGCAGACAAGGCAAGGATGTGGTCACTCATTCATTGTTATTAATGACGCATTAGGCTTTCATCAACGTTGGGCAGATTTCATAAGATGCAGCCAAGGTCTTTAGCTTTCCTGGAGAATTTCTCTCAATACAGTGTCGTCAGAAGGTCCTTTTGGACTGGGTGAGGAGTTAAGGAAGGAAAGTGTCAAGAAAGGAAGGCAACCCTGGCTGGTGTGGCTCAGTGGATTGAGTGCCAGCCTGCAAACCAAAGGGTTGCTGGTTCAATTCCCAGTCAGAACACATGCCTGGGTTGCAGGCCAGATCCCCAGTAGAGGGCACTCGAGGGGCAACCACACATTGATGTTTCCCTCTCTCCCTCCCTTTCCCTCTCTAAAAATAAAATACATAGTCTTCAAAAAAAGAAAGAAAGAAATGCACTCATTGAGTAGAGGACAGAAAGAGCCAGCCAGTTGAGTCTTGAGTCCCCTCAGCCTTCTTGTTCTGAGCATCCCTTTGGCCTCTTCTCTGAAGTTCTGTGAGGTAGACCCCGTGTCATTTTGCTTATCTCTTTCTCTCTATATAAACCTCCTCTAAGGAAACAAGCCTTACAGATTTGTTTACGCTAACATATAAATGACTATTGGGGCTTTATACTTGCTCATTTTCATAAGGGGAAAATCTCTCAGTCAAAGATATCAATAGGTGAGTGGGGAAGGTAGAAGGCCTTCTCAGTGCTCAGAAAGCATGCTGTCCCTCCATCCAGAAACCCAGCCTGTGGCGCGGCCAGGGAATGGGGGCCAGTGGGAGGGGTCAAGCCATGGTGTTTATTTGGACTGACTGAGCAAATTCTGAACCCCCCCATCCTCTTCCCAGAAGCAGGAAAGTGGGCAGGAGAATGGTGGCAGGAGGGGAGGACAAGGGCCACTAGATAGAGCAGAGGTAGACAGAGTAGGGAGTGACTGCTTCCTGCAAATGCACGTCTCAGAGAGGGCAGCGCTGCCAGGGGAGGGCAGAACTCTCTACTTTCCAAGTGTGACTCTTAATGCAATGGAAGGTAGGAAGTCTGGCCTTCCAGCTCTTTGAGGTACCCTCAGCCTTCAACCTTGTGCCGTCCCACTGTATGAGACACCCCAGCACATGGCTGGCATGTTCAAGAGCAGCTCATCTCCTGGACAGATGCTGCTAACCTGTAGCCAACCTGGGTACTGCCCAGGACCCCCCAGCTGCCTTGCAGACTGGGACCAAAGCAGGGCCTGGACCAGATTATGCTACCGGTGGGCACTCAGGGGTTCGGTGGAGAATTCAGGTCACCAGACAGGGTCAGAGTAGAGACAGTGACAAGGACTGGCAGTGTGTGCCACCTGCCCTACGCACAGGATGGCCCCACACGGCAGCCTCTTGGTTCAGGACCGCGTGATGCCAGGGTGTGAAGAGCCTGGTCTCCAGCGGCCCTAGAAAAGGGCTCCACGTAGAAGAAACAGAGATGGGCTGGAGGCAGTCCTGGAACACAAACACCAGTATATTTTATGTGCACAGACGTGAAAAGACAGAGACCAACAGAGACAGAGCAGGCAATGGGTGCACAAACCAGTCGTGTGTCCTTCTGAAGAGCTGCCACAGTTGGGAGACAGTCCCACCTGCCTCAGAGGCCCTTTTGCAGAGCCAGGACCTGCAGCTCCTCCGGGTCTAGGGCGGCCTCAGGGTGGAAGGTACTCTCCCTGCCTTAGCCAGAGTTCTTCCGGGGCTGGGCCTCCCTCTGCATCCCCCGCGGTGATGTCTGCACAGCCCAGACCTTCCCAAGTACAGGTTCTCAGGAGCTGACCCACTCAGTGGCTGCCTCCCCAGGAAGCCCATGCAGAGGGGCAAAGGACCAGGACAAAAGGACTCATGGGCACTCCCTAGGTATTATTGCTGAGAATAAGCATAGGCCGTTGTGATGCCATTATGACTCACTAGGGCACAAGGGACAGGACACACAGCAGACATGGAAGCAGTTCAACCATGCAGGGCAGCACGTGGCGATCTGTATAACTCAGAGACACTGTGCTGTCTAGCTGGAGAGGCCCAGAACACCAGTGGTTCACAAAGAGCAAGCAGACTTTCTCCACCAGCACCCCCACTGCTTGGCAGGGCTGGGGTTACCCCAAATGTTGTATCCCTGGGCACTAAGGAACGGGGGGCCCTGAAGATACCCAAAAGAGAGGAGTTGGAAGTCTGGGCTCCCCTGGTGAGCTCTGAGCCTGCAGACCCTGTGGTCGAGCCCTGGCTCATGGCCTCCCTTTGCAGGGGGGTCTGTGCCCTATGAGGGACGATAGGAGCCATGGGGCACCTGAAGGAGGCAGAAACACAGTGCTCTGCGCATTGCCCGCAAGGCAGGTTTACTCCAGGGCCTCCCACGCTTGGGAGTCTAGAGGGTCCAGAGAAGGGATGGTGCCGAGGAATGCCCACAGGGCCACATCTGGAGCTGCCAGATCCAGTGGGCCTTCCAGGGGCTTCGTCAGGCTGAGCATGGTGGAGGCCTTATGCTGGGAGACAAGCTGACCGCCAGACTCCATTGTGGAAGGGGAGAGCAAAGGTGGGCGGGGTGGTCTAGGGGCCCGCCTGAGGGCCTGCTGGGGTGTTGGGCTCCCAGAGATTGAAATGGCATGGAGTTGGGGAAGAGGACCAAGGCAACAATGACTGGGAGGCCAGAAAATATTCTTCCCCTGGAACCCCCTGTAGATGGAAGCAATCTGCCCCCACTGGACACCTGAATCCCTAGACACCCCAAAGCCCTGGAATTGGGGCTGCAGGAAAGTCAAAGGTGGGGCTGGCCCCGGCAGAATGCACTCCAGACTGTGTGCGTCTACCCAGGACACAGAGGCTGGGAAACGCCCTTCGTCCTGTCCTGGAGGGGGTCAACTGCAGAAAGCAACCCTCCGGGAGACAGTCTCCCAGCCTCTCTCCCCACCGGGGACACGCCTCCTGCCCACACCCCGCCCACCTGCCCTGGGCCTGTGCTGTATGCACAGTCCAGGAGCTGCGGCAGAGCAAGGAAGAGATTCTCTGCGCTGGTGGCATTATCACTTTTTAATGTTCCATAAAAAGGGAAAGGCTAATTTCTACCTAAGAGTTATAGTGTGGTCAAGAAGAGACCATGTACCATGGGATCGGCTGTGTTCTGATGGACCTCTCCCCTTGGTGAGTGGGGGCAGAGCTGGAAGTGGGCTGGAGGAAGGGTTTCACCTGTCCACTGCCAGCAATGGACCTGTCGCAGAGGAAGGCAGGGCAACCGAGATGACAATGCCCGTGAGCATGGCAGGGTAATACTGTGTAAGGGCAAGCTCAGAGTGTCAGCCTTGCTAAGAAGGGTGAGGAGGCGTGGCCCCGAGGAGGTCTTGCTGCAGGGCTGGGGCTTCGGCAGAACCAGGAGTGACCCCTCCCACCAAGGATGGAAGGGTCTCCCTCACTCATTCTCCATGGATCTTCAACACTGGCTAGTGCTCCCCCATCCCCTAGAGGGCTAGACTGGCCCCAAATGGATTGAAAATAAACCAGTCAGGTGTGCCTTTACCTGCCTCCTGATGGCAACCCGCCACACACATTGATTTGTCTCTAGGTCCCCACTGTGGATCTGTGGGGCCCACCTTGGCCTGTGTGTTGCGGGTACCATTCGTCTTCAGCTGGACCTCTGCAGGGAGGGGCATGGGTGGAGGAGAGCACCAGGGGCACTGCCACAGCCCAGCTGGGGTAATAGCGGAGGGGAGGCTGCAGAGGGTGGGCGGGGTCTGTGTCAGGGTCCTATCTCGGGCAGCAGCTGTGTTGGCTGGGGAGTCAGAGTTGGGGGGTGGGGGGTGATTGACATGGATACAGGGCCGAGAGTGGTAAAGGCCTTGAAAATAAGAGTGAAAAGGGGGAAACGCCACCGAACACACAGGGATTGAAACCTCCAAAAGCCCAAGGTTGGTGGGAATCCAGCACCAGGGGGCCCCCAGAAGGCCAAGAAAGCAGCGTGGAGCCCTGGGGGAGGGGAGAGGAGCCAAGGGAAGGCCTCCCAGCCCTTGCAGAGCAGCACAGGTGCCAAGCAGACTCCTGGCTGCCCGTTCTCTCCTTAGGCTGCAGCTCAGCAGGCCCCGGGGGAGGTATTGGTTGCAAGCAAGCACCTGAATATTGCCTAATGGAACCAGCCAAAGCCCAACTAAGCCAGGTGAGAGGGGGCCAGGTGGCAGAGGCTGCACCCCCAAGCCTCCTCAGACCTTGCCTCCCACCTTTTGCCCATTTCTCAAGAGTCCCTCAGCCAGGACAGGGCCTGCTGCTTCCAAAGTCACCCGTGTCCTCTGGCTGCTGCAAGCCTCAGGCCTCCTGCTGCCACCTCTGAGCCGGGCTGAGATCCATGGACCATTCCCAAAGTACCTCTGCTGCCTGGACAGCCGGCCCCCCAACACCAGCTCACAGTGGCGGGCACGGGGGCTGTGTGGGGGCTGTGTGGGCCCCACGGGGCTGAGGCCGGGATGGGGCGGGGCTTGTGCTGTACAGAAGGGGCGGCTCCACCGGCTTGGTACCTTTCCCCACGGGGTGCATGAGAGACCGCCCCCCAGAGTCCCCGCACTCAGTCAATCTTGACGTGGCCATTGGCCAGGGCCAGGGGGCCTCCGGGCTCCCCGGGCTCAGCATCCTTGTCAAAGCGGAGGCGGAGGGTGTTCCGGATGATGAACTGCTCCATGATGAGGGCCCCGCAGAACCAGGGCACTGCGTACTCCAGGGTGATGAGGCCCATGAAGTCAAAGTCGAACTGGGAGTAGTCCCAGGGGCAGGCGTCGAACTGGCGCAGGATGAAGCCGGTGGTGAACTCCCACAGGTAGGTCCAGAGCGTGTAGATGAGGCAGCGCGCCAACAGCGGGCAGCGGCCGCGCAGGCGCAGGTACATGCGCTCCACGATCAGGATCGAGGTGCCGTAGATGAAGAGCGCCCACACGCTCGTGACCCCTGGGAACTTCCAGTTAAAGTTCACTACAAACTCCCAGGCTGCTGTGAACATCACCTCGCAGAAGTAACCGTGGATGGCATACAGGTACCAGCGGGACAGTGCTGTCAGGGGCTCTGCGGAAGCCATGGTGCCTACTGAGGCCAGCTGCTGGGGACACAAAGCAGACAGGTGAGGGGGGAGGGCCGAGCCTCTCCTGCTGCCTTCCCGTGTCCCGTTCACGTCTCATGTAACCATGGCAGAGGGATTTCAAACCTGCGTTTCCTTTTCCTTCGGTTACCGACCATAAGCTCAACTTAATTCCGTCCGTGTTCATTACTTTATTCCATATTCCTTACCTGAGCCAGAGGAGCAGGAGAAATGAAGAAAATAAACCACCCCACTGGCTTCGTCTGAGGAACTCCACTCAAATGCTGCTTGGAAGGGGGCATCTCCTACCCTCCCTACAACTTTTTGGATGACCTGTGGTCCGTGAAAAAGTCAGCTGCCTGGGCCCATCGATCACCCCCATTTCTGGGCCACTAGCTGGTTTTCTGATGATGGCCATCCTAGTGGGTGTGAAGTGACAGCTCCTTGTGGTCACATTTGTCCCTAACTGCTCCATTAAGCAGGGTTTTGGTGTCTTGTTTGGATGTGAAAAGGAAACCAGTGGGCTGACAGAGGAGAGAGCCTTCCCTTCCACTTTTGTGCCCCTCCCCCTCCTTTCTTTTAAGGCCCAGCCCACAGGCCTCGCTGCTTTCTCCCTGCCTTTCGCCAGCAAGGGTCTGGACCGCTCATGTGGCCTTGTATCAGGGACCACCCTATTTACTATCTGAGGCACATGCCCTTTGACCCGACTAGCCTGGGTACTCCCAGGAGGCAGCAAACACGCCCGCCTTCTGTTCTGCAGCCGTGGCTCAGGCCTCCCCCAAATAGCGTTCACCGAAGCACACGTGTTGTTCACGTGGGCAGTGGGACGGGGAAGTGCAAGGCTGCATCAAGAACGAACAGGAAGGCGGAGCATGAGAACACACACCCCAGCTTGCCGGGGCTGCCAGTGGGCACCAGGCTTGACACTGCTGTCAGGCCCTCTCCAAGGTGGGAGAAGGGTCAGAGGTCAGCAAGATGGATCTTCAGCCTGTCTGCCTGTCTAGGAACCCCAGTTTCATCCTTCGGCCGCAGCGATCCTAGTCACAAAATACCCACCCTTGTGCACGGCCCTGGGGGCTTCCCAGCACTCTCACCTACATTTCGTCATTGGTGCTTACCTAATTAAGATCCACAAGAAGGGCAAGTAGTTTTACTCCCATTTTTTAAGGAGAGACATTTGGGGCTCAGAGAGGGTAAGTCATTTGCCCCATATCCCAGAGAAGAGCTGAGACTAGAATCTATACCTTTTGCCTTCTACTTCAGAACTCCCCCCACTACACACCACTGCCCATCTCCTAGACACGAGGGCCTAATGCCATTCCCCTGCTCACAAACTCTCAATGGTTCCCCGTTTCCTAGTGAAAGCCCACAGCGTCCTTGGCCTGGCATTCAAGCCCCTCCGTGATCTCGCTCCAGTCTACTTTTTCAGCCTCATTCCCACAGCCCAGCTCTCTCTCACCCCCAAGCCTTTGCGTAGCCTACCCATCATGTCTGGGGCCTTTCTCCTCTCACCGCCACGAGTGCAAACCCAGCTGACAGGTTCCCTTCAGAACAAACGTTTTTACATCCTCCCAGACACCAGTGCGCTGTTCCTCCTCTGAATATCCACAACACTTATTCTGTCTCTGGTACAGACAACTTTGTTTCCGGTTGATAACTTGCAGTCCCCAGACGGACGCCTGTCCTGTGTTCTATACCTGCATACCCCACTCTTTCCTGGACACCTCCACTTGTATGTCCCATAAGCACTTCCAACTCCTTTTCTCGATCAAACATTATCTTTTCCCCAAAACCTGCTTTCCTCCTATGACCCATTGCTGGTACCACCACGCACCCAGTTCGCAGCCAGAAGCCCTGGCATCTTTCTAGCTTACCTTGCCACATCCCCATTCTCACATGAGCTCCCTGAGAGCAAGGATTTGTCTGTGTATCCCCTGTGCCTAGAATAGTGCCCGGCACACGATAAGCATTCCATACAAAAACAAAGAACATTCCTTTATCAGTTAGCAATTACTGCGTAACGAGTCATCCCAAAACTCAGTGGCTTAAACCTACTCTCATTGTTACAGCTCACATGTCCATTCATGGGTTGGCACATGTTGGGACTCAGGGCTTCCATCCTGAGACTGCGAGTCCTCTGGGGGCTCTGTCCTGTGTTTGGCTGGGGTGGCTGTTGCTCCACTTGGTCTCTCCTCCTCCTCCTGGGCCTGTTTGGCCCCAGCACGTTCTTCTCAGGGCAAGGGCAATGGCACCAGCGCTTTTCTAGACTCTGATTAAATCACACCCACTAACATCTTAGGCTGAAGCAAGTCACGTGGCAAAGCACCAAGTCAGCCATCATCAACTCCTATCTATCTACCTCTGAAATATCTCTGAAATCCATCCTCTCTTCATTCCTCGTTCCCACTGTGGCTGCTCTGGTTCGAGCCCTTCTCATCGCTCACCTGGATGACTCCCATCGTCTCCCAGACCGTCTCCCTCCTCGCCTCCTCTCCAGTGCACTCATCACACTATCCAAGAGTGTGTACAAACAGCAGTCTTTCTAAAATGCAAATCCGATGTTTCTCCCCACTTAAAGCCCATTAGTGGATCTTTAACATCGTTAGACTCAAACCCCTAGGGATGGCTGCCCAAGCCATTCGTGACCCCCCTTCTGCCTCAGATCCTGTCCCCTGGATCTTTACATTGCTGTGTTTGCTAACTGAGGTGCCTTTCCAACTGCTACCTACACACCACCACAGCCCATGAACCCATAATCCTTCGAGATCCAGCTCCTCTTCCATGAAGACTTTCCTGAGCACCCCCACCCCCAGAGCCACACCCTGCGCTGTGTGCCCACATCTACAGCCAGTTCACACCTGTGGCGCTGCTTCACACTCAGCTTCGCCATAATCTGTCTGAAGGCCAGCACTGTGCGCTAATGAGCACTTGTTTAACACAATGTTAAGAGAAAAAAGCAGGACTCAGAACTGAATGTTTAATTTGATTTCGATTTGGGAAAGGCAGACATACATGTAAGCATATTAAAAAAATTTAGCCATGATCATCTCTGGATGGTAACATAACTGACTCTTATTTCCTTCTTCGTACTTTTCTAACAAGTATGCATAACTTTTCTAAAAATAAATTTCACCTTGAAAAAGTATTAAATGAACACATATTAGTCATCTTTGTGCCTTGTATATAGAAGACGCTCAGGAAAGTTGCCAGGCAAATGAACCTCAGGAAACCTGATCCTAACTGCTTGGGTTTGCATCCTGGCTGACACCCTACAGCCGCAGGGTCTAGGGCATCTCACTTGGCCTCTCTGTGCCTCGGTTTCCCTATAGGTAAAGTGAAGAGAGAGCAACTCACTATCCCTGAGGGTCGCCGTGAGGAATGACCTAACAGACACACCTACTGAAAATACAGCCAATGCTCGGGAAAGCGTGGCCATCATGGCTGGCACAGAGCCAGGCTTCCCGGTCACCTGCTCCTCCTGAAGTGCCCCTTCTACTGGAGGCAGGGTCATTTGGCCCCTGCCCGCATCGGCGGCCAGGCAGCCTTCTTTGTCAAGCAGGTCAGGTCCTTACCTCTACCCACAGCACCAACCTGGCCGCCAAAGCACCCTGTGAAAACAGTAACTGTGTACACAGCCCAAGGAAGAGCTAGGCCTCAGCCAAGCAGAGTCAGTGCGAGCTCCCGGCCTCCGGGTGGCCGAGAGGTGGCGGGCTCGGCACCAGTCCTCTGAAGGCCGGACTGGAAAAGAAGGGCGAAATGAAAGGGCCGGCATTCCTGGTACAGCTTCTCATACCCTCATTGTATCCTGAACCCCAGACAGACCACTCTGCCTCCCACCCACTCGGACCCCTCTGAACGTAGGGCTGTCCACCTGACCTGCACTCGGAACCCCGGACTCCTCCATCCCACAAGGTCCGGGGAAGGGGCTTCCCATCCAGCATCCCAGCATGGCTACAGTCACCACGCAGGTCAGCCCCCACCCTGATGCTGATTTTTAAAACCCTGCTCTCATTGCCTCTTAGTCTCCTCTTTTGAAACAGCCAAGAATGGTTTCCAAGTGGGTAACCAATCAGAGGCTCCAGTCACTCCCGGGGCAGGTGACTTGGAAGAGCTGGACTCCTGAGCCCTACAAGCAGAAGCAAGATTAAAGAGATGGCTGCACAGGAAAGGGAAGCTGCTGAACAGAAGAGAGGGTGGGGGGAGGAGAGCAGGGGCGCCGGAGGCGAGGACTCCATTTCTGGAATCTCCCGTAAAGAACGGGAGGGGAAGCATACCCAGGCAAGGTCAGACCATGTCTCATGTTGTGCCGAGAGAATATGTCTGGTCCATGCAAGACAACAGGGGGTACCCTGAAGTCTTGGCTGGGCCAGGAGATGGGGGCGCAGACAGGGAACAGGGATTTGAGGCAGCTGGGATGGCAGCTCACACTGTGGTGGGACAGACACTCTTGGTGGGGCAGGCACTGGCTTGGGTAGGTTTTCAGAAGCCACCCCCCAGACCCATGTCTGATATCCACAGGAGCTGTGCTCACACCTTGAGCTTGCCCACCCTTGGCTAGACCCAACAGATACCTATTCCCACCTTGGACTTGCCCCACCTGAGCCCTTTGCCTGGGACCCCTCCGTTACCTCCTTCAGCCCTGGGGTCAGAGCCCGGGGACAGCTGTATCAGGAAGAAGCAGCAGCACCGGGGATGTTGGCCTCCTTCTCCTGGTGAAAAACACACCGTCTTCAGGACTGTGACTGGCAAATGGGACAGCCCAGGAAAGAAAATTTAGGGCGGAATAAAGAGGAGGAGAGTGTGAGAAAGACTAAAAGCAGGAGAAAAAAGTTTGGAGAGCAGTGGAGAGTTTCACAAGAGGGATTTGGGGGAAGAACACTCAACTACAAGTGTTGATGAAACTCTTCATACTTGTTGATCAAAGGGCCCAAGGACACGAAGTTCCAGCAAAGGGCCGGAACTGAAGGAGGCTTATCAGGGCAGGGCACTGCCCCTCCAAGGGACAGGTGATTAGAGGGGAGGGGACTGGCTTTCAGGGCCCAGGGCCTAGGACTATCTCAACTACTAGTCTGCTTGGAGTACCGAGTTCTAGCAAAGGGCCTGCTGAGCTATTCCTTAGGGTGGCAGAAAGCAGTTGAGAGGGGCAAAGAGAATGTGATGGAAGTCCAAGGCAGGCTGGAAGCAAACCCAGATGAGAGGGTTGTCCTTGGTTTTGCCAAAAACTCCCATCTTGTTCCAGGAAGCTGAGATGCCACAACACAATGACTCTGGAAATTTTTGTCCAGAAGAGTATCCTGCTAGAAAACTGGGCTTCCCCTCTGTGTGGCCAGCCTGGGCAGGGCTTCCTCTTTCACCCTATTTACTTCCCAAATTTCACTCCTCATCCCCAGGTACCAACATCACTTCTGGTCTGTGTTCTGGGGAGACGCACAACCCTGAGGGCAAGGCCGTGGGGGCACAGCTTGAGTGACTGTGAGCCCACAGCTTGAGTGACTGTGAGCTCAGTCCCCTGGTGGACCCCGTGCTGGGAGTGGGTGGAATCAGTGAGCTACCTTTGCATCTGGGTGCAAGACGCAAGGTCTGAAACCATCCTGAGCGTCCCCTGTGGTCATCTGGTTGAGGGTGGGGAGCAAAATGTGAGCTTGCTTCAGAGCCAGAAGGGAAGCAAAGGTGGGGAAATACCTGTGCTCACTGGTATTACCGGTGGCATACGGGTGGCATACCCGGATGCCAGAGTTCCACCCTCTCTCGCTGTGGGCGTCCCCTGGGAAGGCCCCCTGGGACAGTCCTCCCTCCATCTCCCAAGTAACAATAATATTAATAATCAGCCACTCTTCTCAGAACTTTCCATGTATTAGCTCAAATAATCTCCAAGCCCCTTTTACAGAGGGTGAAATTGAGGCAGAGAAAGGCTAAATAAGTAGCCTAACTTCTGACAGCTACAGAAGGTAGAGGTGGGATTTGAACCCAAAGCCTTCACTTCCAACCAGCATACTACACTGCCTGAGGCTGACTGCGGCTCCTCCGAGGGCACTACCATTCCTGGGTTTCTGCCTCTGGAGGCCTGGGAGAGTCCGTGGAGAGACAATGGGAAACAGGGAGGGCATGAGCTTCCAGGTAGATTGTCAGGGAAGCTCAGAACTGGGCGTCAGAGCCACCAAAGGCTTTCAGCCTGTTCTGAGGTCAAGGTCTGGCAGGATCCACGTGAAGGTCCCCCATGGTCAAAAGCTGACCTTCACAGGGCTTCAAGGCACGTGCCGTTCAAAGACCCCTCACCAGGACACGTGTTACCTAGAGCCTCCCTGACTGCCAGCCCACCCCAAGGTTGCAGGGAATCTCCAAGGGCCCAGCCCTGCCAGTGAGGGCCCCGGCCAACGTGCAGGCTGCCCAGAGAAGCCCTGTGCCTGGACCGACCAGTCCACATAGGCCAGTGGCAGGGAGGACTTCAGAAGGTCTCAGGCACTAAGCAAATCCCAGCTGTGCTTGGAACACCAGGTCAGCCCTGGCACAGGCTCCCCAGGGCTCAAGCAACAAAGGGCACCCTGGGGTGGGGGCCAGTAGGCTGGGCATCCCGTGTGTCGCCTGCAAGGCCTTCCCAGACCTCACGCAGCTGCCTCCCTGTTAGCACCCAGGTTTCAGCTCGACCACCCCTCAGAGACCTCTGATCTCCACTCCAAAACAGCCCCTGTCACTCACATCATCCCGCCTTATTGTCGTCACAGCGCTCTCACACCCTGACACTTTGCTGCTTGCTCACTGCGTCTGCCGGTTAGAATGCAAGCTCCACGAGGGCCGGGGCTCTGTCCCGTCCGCTGCCAGGTAACCCGTGCCTGGCAGGAAGGCCCGCTAATGCCTGTGGAGTGAATGAGTGAATGGGCCCCAACAGGCGCAGGCCGGGCAGCTCTGATGAGGGCAGGCACGGACAGACAGCCAGCGCGGCCTTTCTATTCTCTTCTTTCTTGGGATATACAGCTTTTTAAAAAATGTTAATTCTAGCATTTTAAACTCCATTGTGGTTTCTGATTACAAAGGTAACATGCTCACAGCTGAAATTTAAACAGTACAGAAAGGAATGACTTAGAAAGCAAAGTCCCCCCTCAACCCACCTGATAGAGAAAGTCACCAGGAATGGTGTGTTGTGTATTCACCCAGATTAAATATAGTTTTAGAAGAAAATCCATGCATCGCAGAGCGAGAAGGCATTCACAGTTCCACTAAGCCAGCAGCCACGGTCATTGCCACTTTGCAGCCTTTTCTCATGTGTGCATTTTACGAGTTACCGCAACGGGCTTGTCCTGTGACTTGACACTATCACTTATTAAGTTACAATCCTGTTTCCAAGCTGCTATATCGTCTATGTGCTCGTCACTATAATGGCTGTGTAGCATGCCACAAGTGGAAAACTATAATTTGCTTAACGCAGGTGGCCACCAAAGGGAGAATGACAATTTCCCATTTCCACAGTTACGCTGACACCACCAGAAGTGTGTTTTTTTGTGCCTGTAACAAAAGAATTCAGCCCTTCTCTTCCCTGGGACTACCTGTTAATGAATGATGCTGAAAATGTGATTACTGTACAGAGGGTACGATGATTCTGAGGTGGGCGGTGTGGACAGCTCCAGGGAGTTCCGTGGTACGTGGGGAAGAGTTCTCTGGACCGAGCCCCGTGTTCCCACAGTGGGCTTCGCGGCCGTCCGCCTGTGCCCACGCCACTCCCGCCGTCCAAGTGGGACGCTCACACCACCCCGGCTGCAACTCACCCCAAGAACAGCTTCGTGAAAGACCCTCCTATCACAAACTGATTTTGCAAATCTGGGCTCAATGAAAATAGATTCTAGCCCTGAGTTTGAAGCTCTCCACTGGCAGTGGAGTCAGGCTACCTAAAGCTGAGAAAGACCTAGTTACTCTCTTCCTGCAAAGTCGTCTGTGGAATCTAAGGCTCCGAGCTCCCGTGGAGCAGCCCAGCTGCCTCTAAAAGCCCATCCAGTCTGGAGTGCGGAGCACCTGCTCTCCCACCCTGCTTTCCAGGGGAGCGCTCTGCCTGCTGCTGTCTGGTCCCACAGACCGAACAGCCCTCATGCAAACAGGCTTCCAGGGCTTGGAAATGCAGCCAATTGTCATTTTTTATAGCATGATCCAGGAAAAGCCAGAGGCCCAGGCTGCAAAGAAAGGCCACTGAGGACAGGCGATACGCCACAGCTGGAGGCCTCGAACTCCATACGGAGCTTGTCTGGACGGAAGAGGAGTCACAGCAAAAGGCACAAAAACAGCAGACCCCCTGGTGGCCAGTTTTATGGCAGCTCAAGTGCCACAAATCCCTCCCCTTCCCCTGGATGCCTTGCCCGGGGTTGTCATAGAAACTGCTCATGGCATCTGGACCAAGTCGACGTCCCAGGTGAGGAGCAGTTCCTACTGCACACGAGTAGAGCCCAAGGCCCAAAGCATCCATGAGCGTACCGACAAGGAGGAGAATCGGGGAAGATGTGGTCTCCCGTGTGCCGGGTGTCTCACATCACACACGTCAGCGGTCCGGCCCAGTTCTTAGAGGCCAAGTGGCTCTAAGGTGGCTTCAGCAAAGGACATGGCCTGAGACTGCTGGACACTCTCCTCCCATCCCTGCCCTATTCTTCTCTGGGACTATTTCTTAATGAGTAATTCCAGACAGGGGTGTCACTGGACAGAAGCAGATGCCAGCTTTGGCAGGCCCTCAGACAAAAAGTGGGCTCAGAACCGGGACTTCCGGACCTGGCCCACGCTGCTGAGGTAGGGAGGGCTGGCCATCCCCAGGGTGCCTGTAACATACTCACTTATCACACCCTTGAATGCGCAGCTCAGAATAGACATCAGGATCACTCTCCAGGAGTGTCCTGGGTTATCCTTTGCCCTGGTGCCTGGCTGGGCGACGGTGCCATTCTCAGCAGTGTGAGTAACCATTAGTCCCGGGGCTCAGCTGATCTTCGGCGAGTGGGCGGGCGGCTTCCATGTGTCCCTGGGGAAAAAAGGAGGCATTCTTTAGCTTAAACTGTCCCCAGCTCTGAGCCACCAGGCCAGCCAGAGAAGCAGCCCTAAGGCAAATACCACAAGGCCCCGCCTCCAGACTCAGCACCGGATGCTCATCCTGCCCGGCCACCTGACCCCTCTCCTGGAACCTGCCACCTCCTCCAAGCTGTTCTGTTTGCTCGGGTCTGGTTGGTCCAGTGACGAGAGCCTGGGATCCGTCCCAAGTCACATGTGGGCCAGGACTTAGGGCTTCTTTCACCACGAGAGAATGCATGCTCAGTCATAGTCTGAGAGAGGATATACTTTTAGAGTCCGGCTCCATTCTCATTTAGCTTCAAGTTACACTCTCACTTTCACCCTGTAGTGGGCACATCTGTTCTCAAGGGCGGTCGAGTGCCTCCTGGAGGACAGGCGACGTAGGCCGTTCGCTTCAGTGCTCCGGAAGTTAAAAACAACAGCACAGAAAAGCAAGCGCACCAACGACGCGTGCTAAAACCCTCTACCCACAATCCCACTACCCTAATACTTATTTCCTTCTGCTATTTTATCATTTTGATGTTGAGGCCCTTCCTGTTAACATCAGTAACAGACTACAAGCTGCTATCAATCTGACGTCCCTTGCTACGTACATATTTTACACCAGTTCCCAAGACTTGACCGTTTGATATAGAGTGCCACATGTTTCCTTTTTATATGAAGGTGCTGACGCTTCCCCAAAAGCCCCTTGAATACAGCACCACCGCACGAGCCCATGACAGGTCCAGTACGGCCCCGTGGGAGGACGCACTGGCCACTCGGAAGCTGAGAAGAGGGTGTGACTGGGGGTGGCATTTGGCACCATCCCCCCCCACCGTGGATGGCCAGGCAGGGTGGAGCACAGAGAAGCCACCCTGTGCTGACACCCAGGGTCACCTGTGTTCCTCCCCCACCCCAGGCTCTCAGAGCAGGGGGGACTCCAGCCTTTGCTCCCTAAGCTGACAGCCTGCAAGGCAGCAGGGGAGCTGAGAAGCGAAGGGCTGGGGCTGGGGACCCGAAACCACTGTGTGTGCACGTGCTGGCGGGCGGGTGTGGTGTGCACCCCTGGGCCAGGCGGCACCAAGGGCCCTGGTTCCTGCGCTCTACCTCGGCCCTGTACTTCCCCAGCTCCTCCACAAACAGAAGCCTCCAACCCTGCCCCACCTGTCCATCTTCCTCCTGTCTCTCTGCCTGCCTGATGGTGGGCCGGGGTCACCAAGGCACGTACCTATCACTTCAGGAAAGGGCTTTAATGGGGTGTGTTCGACAGCCCCAGCGCCAGTACAACCCTGTGGCCTGGAGAATTCAACCCACCCACGGGCGTGAGCCCCTCCCCTTCTCTGGGCTCTAAGCAGACCACATCAATAGCCCAAGTCCAAAGCAAAACTGAAACAGAAACCAAAGCCCACATCCTGGCAGCACAGCCTCATGGTCTCTGCAGGCATCCCAGGAAGCCGATGCTGGCCAAGGTACCACCCTGGCAGGTGAAGGCACAGCAGTGAGAACAGGCTCCCTCCCCAGCCAGCCTCTCGCTGCACACCTCCTGCTCCCTGGTCTGCAGGCTGTTCCCCAGGGAGCTGGTGGGGCTGCTGGGGAGGTGATGGTGCAGCACGGGACCCAGCCCCTCCAACACACCCTACCCCTGAGGGTAGGTCCCAGGGTGCACAGGGCATTAGGCTCCTCTGCGAACTGCATGGCCTGAGCCCGTTTTAAGAGTACACGAACGTGTGAGGCACCCTGATAACGACTAACAGGTGGGTAGAGGTTAGACCTTTTTGCGTAATACATCACCTCCGAGATTCTGCCAGGACTCCTGCAGGGAGGGCAGAAAATATCACCCCTCACTCCCATTTTAGAGATGAAAACACTGAGTCTCAAGACAGTAGGAAATCAGGCCAAATCCACACATGTGGCGCAAAGCCTGGTCCTCGGGCTCCAGGGCCGCCCCTGTCCCCACTCAGCGTGCCTCCTCGCTGCTTCCCATCCAAGCCTCGTTCTTCGGGCACATGTCTGCACACACACACTTTGTTACATGCAATCTACTCGGTCCACCCTGTAAGCTGCTTATTTGTGAACACACAACCGAGTCTGTCCATACAGGGTTTCCGTCAACGTGCAGGGGCTGCTAAGAGCTTGAAGGAGCAAAGACCACTGTGGTTCCCAGCCCGCTCTCCCCGCCCTCCTCCGCAGCTCACACCCACTCCTCCAGGACCCCGCTCCCTTCTCATCCCTTTGACGTGATGCCATCTCCCATAGCCCCCCAGTTATCCCTTCGCCATTGTTCCCACAGGCCTTCGAACAAACACTCTTGTGTTGAAACATATTATGTGTCTGTTTCCCCTCCATATAATGAATTTGTTGAGACTGTGGAACTTCTGTTGGATGGATAGACAAGCAGGGAAGAGAAGGGTCCAGGTAAATTTGGGGGTGACTACACCACCCAGTGACACTAACCAAACAGGGTGATGGCTGGGGAGCTTCTCTCCTTTGCAGGCTTCCTTCACGGAAGGGCTTCCTCCACAAAGCAGCACAGACGGGGCTTCGCCACAGTCAGGGCTGTCTCTGCAGACGAAGGAACGAAGAGTACTCACTCTCCTTTCTCCCACCTCCAAGAGCCATCGCCTGGACCGAGAGGGGCAAAGAGACGAGGTCCAGGTGGGAGCCCCGGGCCCAGACAGTCCAGAAGGCATGTCACACAAGGAAGTCTGGGGTGGGATCACAGCGTCCTGGGCATCCCCAGAGACACTGCAGGCTCCTGCGTGGGCATGGGGCCAAGGTCGAGTTCAGGTCAGAGAACAACAATGCCTATTCTGTTATGTCTACAATGAGCTGGCACTCTCAAAAGGCACGTCCAGTTTTCGTGCAAGCAGCATTCATCTCCCAAAGAGGTTTAATCAGCAGCTGCTGGCAGGAAATTCCTTCTGCACCATTCACTCTCTGCCTGTAGAACTATTTAGGGTAAGCTGGGCTTGCGGGATTGAATCTCTGCTTCCCTGACCAGAACCGAAAAACCAAATCTACCCCCACCCCTGCCCTCACCCCTGTGGCCCAGAACCTAAGACCGGAACCAGAAAGCAGCAGGCAAAACTCCCCCTCTCTCCTCTTCCTTAACTCTCCCCAAATCTCCTTCACCCCAGGCGCCCACAACGGAAAAATATGATGCCCAAAAGTCCATTGGGGAGTCCTCCAGTTACCCAAAGCATCCCCCCACCACCCCGAGTGCCTCCCAGGCGGCCCAGAACAAATGCTTTTACTTGTCCTGTAGTAAGACCAGCCCTGAACACAAGTGGATTTGGCAGCTTCCCAAACCACGGAGTGACCACACTCGGCTACAGAGGCAACTGGACTTCCACATCCCTCTAGAAGAAAGGCTGTGTCTCATCGGCTCACCCTGGGCAGCAAGGCGACCCAGGCCCTGGAGACCTGACTGGCATAGAGAAGGTGGGCAAAGATAGGGGATGAACTTCACCTGACCATGCCTTTCTACCCTGTGCCCATCGCTCAGGGCTTGGAACCTGGGCTTTCCTGTCTGCCGAACATCCCGCCGCCAGCCTTCTGTCTCCTGGAGGTCACCCTCTCCTGCCACCCTCCTCTCCTCCCTTCCTCTTCCCATCCAGCCCACCCTACTTTACACGCCCCCCAATGCCCCCTCAGCACATACCGTGACGGCCCAGCCCCTACCCCTTGGGAGGGTGGTCTCTGGCCCCACGCCCTTCTCCTTTCCCTCCCATCCCACCTCCTGGCACCAGGAAACTGCCGCCTGCTGCCTGGCTGAAAGGCTGGACAGCTGCTGGGCTCTCTAATTAGCTGCCTGGCCGCCATCCCAGAGCGAGGCATGTGTTACTGTAAAGAGCTGCCTCACCTCCCCTTCATCAATAATCCCCTATGCAGATCCCATCAGGCGGCAGCTGAAGGCCCCCGAGAATCCAAGTCACATGAGACCAACAAGACCCCTCCTGCCAGCAGGAGAGGGACAGACCGTTGTCTCACAGCCTCACCGACAAGTGACCGGACATGTATGTATCTGGGCTCTCCCTATCATTGCCACAGGGTGTCCCCCTGGACGCCCCACCACACCATGACTTTGGAGCAACAGGGAGCCTGTCCCTCTGTGGCCTCCCTAGTGGAGGACGAGCCAGCACCGCCCCAACAGAGTGACGCCCACAGCCCGATTTTTCCCAGCTTTCTACAGCCAAGTCCCCCCAGAGGTTTCTAAACAACCAGGAGACCTAGTCCAAGAAGTCCTGTGGAGGCCGGTTTGTTTATTCGAAGTATTGTGTTCCAGGAGTGAACAAATGTTTACTGAGTACCCACTGAAGGTCAGGCACCCTACTCAGTGTGAACGAGACGGCAGCCCTGCCCCCTTGCAGCTCACGGGCTGGCAGGGGACACATGACAGGTACACCGGCCAACACACACTCTGATTTCTGATGCCGGGCCACGGGGAAGGGGCAAGAACCCACAGAGGACAGTAAAAAATCGGGCTTTAGAGTGCGAGTCTTCAACTTCTGTAAGGAGGCAGCATCTGGGCACAGAGATCCGGAGGATGCGAAGAGGCCATGCAAAGGGCTTAGGACAAGCATTCCGCACTGAGGGAACAGTCAGTGAGAAGACCCATAGAGCAGCCAACAACCAGGCCAAAGACAAGGGTCCTCCCACCCCTTCAAGTCTTCTGGTGGTCCCCCCCGCCCAAGCCCTCAGCCCCCCTACATCTCTGAAACAAATGAAGGGTGAGTTGTGTGACTGAAGGCCAGTAATTTCCTTTTGCTTCTGATCAAAGGAATTTAACTTCACCAGGCCCTCTCTGGCCTGGGTATTTCACTTTAACAAGAAAATATTGTCTTTTACTCCAGCTAGTTTCTTGGGCTTTCTGTCACTTGCAATCAAGAAACTCTGGCCCTGGCTGGGTGGCTCAGCCGGCCAGGGCATCGTCCCCTGCACCAGAAGGTTGCAGGTTCGATCTTCCCAGTTGGGGTGTGCACAGGAGGCGGCCAATCGATGTTTCTCTCTCTGTCTCTCTCTCCACAACCCCCCTCTACAATCAATAAACATATCTTTGGGTGAGGACTAAAAAAAAGAAAATCTGCACTAATACAAGCGACTCCCCCCACCCCAGAATGCACCTAACTGGCACGAGGATCACACATCCGAGCGCCATTGCCACTTCTGCCGCTGTGAAAACTGCTCCTCGCAGGCAGTGAAGTGCGGAACGAGGATCAGACGGGTCGGACGCCGGGCAAGGCAGGGCGGTCTCAGCCAGGTGGCCACAGCATTGGAGGCCCTCCCCCCGACTACTGTCCTGTCCCTTCCACTGGTAGAGGATGCCTCACCTGACCCTGGCCAGCAACCCAGCACAGCTCAGCTGCCTTCTGCAAACAGGATACGTGAAAACTAGTAGCCTAGAGACAAGGCACGCGGCGAGCACAGGTAGTGCACAAATAGTTTATTTTTCTACAAACTCCAGGATGGTACTATCCAATCTGATAGCCTGTAGCTATGTGTGACCATTTAAATTTTAATTAACTAAAAGTGAGTAACGTGAAAAATTCTGTTCCTCAGTTGCACCAGCCACCTCTGAGTGCTCAGTAGGCACGTGTAGCTGGTGTCTGGTACATGGCACGGTGCAGGTACAGAACATGCCCGTCACCATAGAAAGTTCTACTAGACCGCACTGCTCCAGAGCTCACCAAGGGTGACCAGAAGGCTGCCGAATACACAGACCTAAAGCTCCATGTCCTTGCTCTTGGGAACCCTTTCCTTCTGAACAGACCCCTGCTCTGCCTCTTCCTCAGGCTCAGGCCACGGTAAGCCGGGTGACCTCTGTGAGCTGGAGGGAGGGTTAACTCTTGGCCCACGGAAGTCACTGTGCATGGTCTAAAGAGTGGCCTACACCCAGGAGCCCAGGAGAGTGTCCTGGCTGCTGGGGAGTGAGGCCAGCCTCTGGGTCTCTGGCTGTAACTCAGTCTAGAGGTGCTGCTGAGAACGTTCAAAACTCCACACCAGTACTGGGCTCCAGCCATGGGCCAGGCAGCTTACCCAGACCATCTCCGCAGCCGCCTGCGCAGGTCTACGAGGCAGACAGCAACTCCCACTTGCTCACAAGGCAAGAGAAGCCCAAAGAGGTTAACGGGAGAGCCAGCACTCTCCCTCCCTACATCCTCACGAGAGACACGGACATGTGGACGGGAATCAGAGACTTAATTTACCCACAGTAATGGGACACCTACAGTTGGCGAGAAGTTCTCGTGGCACACAGTCTCGCGTGAACTTCTGTTTCCAGCCTCAAGTTCGCCCAGGGGCTTGGAGAGCCGCCTTCCAAGGGTCTGCCCGTGAAGACCCAGGTCATAAAAGACATGCCATCAGCACCACAGCAGGGCCCTAGCACAGGCCAGCCTGGGAAGGCGGTAGGGGCCAGAACACAGACACGCAGCACTTCTCCTGGGCGAAGAGGGGAGGGGCACGATCACAATTTCATCCCACAAAGCCATCTGGACCATGAGTCCCTTATCTTTGCACCCATGGCCTGGATAAAACTTGACATACAGCAGAGACTCAATATCCAAGTGTGGACTGGGGAAAAAAGGCAAAATAAGGTCCTCAAAGAGTGAGGGGACCTGGCCAAGAGAAGCCTGAAGGGCAAGTGCATTGGGTCAATGACTGAGGAAGGAGAGTTGTTCTGGGGGAGCTGTGACAACGCTGTCTGCTCTGCACCTGACCCAACGGTCCCTTTCCCCTAAGTAATGGCACGGAGGGAAGGTCAGCTCACGCTGGGCCAGGCACTGACTACAGCCAGGCCCTGGGCCCATGAGCCTCCGCCCGGACACCCTGGCTCCTCGCTCCGCCTCTGCCTGGACAGCTCCCTCTAGCTCTGAAGTATTGAGCCTTACCACAGGCTCAAAATATGGCTTCAAATAGCACTTAGGCAAGAGTAATTAAAGGGAATGTTATCTCACTCAGTTTCTCATTAGCCACGTAATTAGAGTGCTGGAAATAATTAACATTCCTTTTGACAAAGGAAACAGAGGACCCAATCCATTCATTAGGACGACCTCAAACAGCCTGAGCAAGGCCAGGAAGAACTCATCCCCTCCCAGGCCCGTGCAGGCCAGCGTCAGCAGCGGGGAACTCGGGCCCAGAGGCGAGGCCAGCGCCGGGCTGGGCTCTCAGGCCTGCCGGGGCACTCGATGCCCCGATGTATGTGTTACAGGTGACAACAACACACTTGTGCGCAGAGAAAAAGAACTGAAAGGAAGTACATGAGAGTTTCTACACGGCAGGCCAGGGGCATGTGCCCGCCTCCCCTAAGGCCCTAGAGAATGACAGGAAAGGCATTTTCTACGAACAATAAATCCATTACAGTCCTATAAAGCAAGAAGGAATTGTATGGATTCCCTGAAAATGGAAGGCAGATGGGAATAAACATGGAGAAAGCGCAACCCCCCAAAATAAAATCGTGACGATAATAACAATAATGATGGTAGACACTTTTACAGCACAGATATTCGCCCGACATTGTTCTAAGAACTCTGGCATGTATTATCTCATCTAACCCCCCCAAAGATTCTTAGAGACAGAGGCTATTATTACCCCCACTTTACAAATAAGACCCTGAGTGACCCAGCTTTCCCCAGGCACAGGGCTAAGTAAACGCCAAGACTGGGATTTGAACCCAAGCGGTGCAGCTGGGGATTCCACAGTCAGACAAGCAGCTCTGGGGGCTCCAAGTTTGGAGCCAGCGGATGGGGGCCCAGGAGAAGCCCTGAGTGGATTTTCCCCAACTGGGCAGGTGGGCCCCTGCCCACCTCTTCAGCCATGCTTGTGCCCTGGACACTGGGGTAGCGAGGCAAGGGGACACCTAGACCAGTCCCCTGCGAGTCCCCAGCAGGCGCGTCCTACCCTCTGGCCACAGCCAGCGGCATCTGGCTGTGGAGCACGGAATCGTGCTCACAGAGAGGCGACTGGGAAACCCCAAACCGGAGTGAGGAGCGCACGGCCCAGACTCACCAAACACCTGACCGAAACCAAAGTGTTTTTAAAAGTACGATTCATCTCCTCTGTGGGCAAGAGGGGCTACTGAGCCCCTGAAACAAAACCAGGCTGTTAGCAGAAAGCCATTGAAGACCTTAGAAATGGAGGAAGCACAGGTTGTCTCTGGAGCAAAACTAGCATGGCTTCATTGAACTTTTCTTTACATCTTTCTATTTTCCTAAACTCCCTATACTGACCATACATTACTTTTAAAATTGGAAAAGTTTCTTTTTTAAAAATGTCTGGCCCGACGTAGGTGCTCAGTAGGATTTAGTCGCAAAGTAGTTATTTTGCAAAGCAAAGGGGGGTAGATTCTGACCCCACAGCAGCCCTCAGCCGTAGCTAGGCTGGCCCTCACCCTGCACCATCCCGCACCCTTCTCTGGGTCCCTGCACACAGTTCCCCTCCTGGAAGGAAGGCCCAGTCTCTACTCTGTTGCCCCACGCGTGCCTGCCCTTCACGCCCACTCAAAGGTCACCCTGCCTAACCCACCCGACCCCTCCTCCCCCAGTCTCCGAAGGGCACCTGCTTCTCCGGGGTCATGGGACGGCTCTGGCCAAGCCGCCCTACGGGGTCACAGCCCCGATAACATTTATGCCCCTTACCTGTGAGTGAGCCCCAGTCTCGTCTCCTTAACGACACCGAGAGGGCGCCAGCCTTCTCTTTACAGCCCTCTCTGCCCAAATAAAGCTGAGAAGCTGTTGCAAGAACGTTCTCAGATGTCAGTTGAGTGAATGACAAATGAGCTTCTGTTCCTGGTGGGAGTAGGAAGAGGAAAACTATTGTGGAAGCGATTATTCAACAGGGCTGGGCCCATCGCGGCAGATGGGCGAGGCCTCCTGGCCTCCCTGGTCCCGGAGCGCTGTGCCCGCCCACACCCTGTGTGGGATCCAGAAATACCTGCAGACCCAGAGGGGAAGGCGGCCAAATCCAGAGGTGGAATTTGGATGACGAGCTGGATATCTACATGGTCTTAAGGTATCTCCCCACGGACTCTGTATCGGTAGCAAAGGAAAACAGTAAATGCACAGTGAGGACACTGGACACCACCTTGGCTGAGTGATCAAACCGCACACATGGGGGGGCAGAGGGACGTCCGCTGCCTCTGGATGTGAAGCACCGAAAATATGCGCATCGCCCCTGAACATCCCGGCCCGGAATGTGTAACCCAGAGTCCAACCGTGTGGCCACATCAGACAGATCCAAAGAGAACAATGTTTTGGGTTTTTTTAAGGGAGAAGAAGGAAGCTACATTCTTCAACAACGCCAGTGTCGGGACTGACACAGGAAGCCCGAGGAACTGTTCCAGACGAAAGGAGACTAAAGAGACATGTCACCCACGTGCAGCTGGGCCCCCAGACCTGACCCCATGCGGAGAGGAAAATGCCTTACAGGACGTGACTGATCAACTGGCCGACCTGACACACGACCAGCAGACCAGCTAACGCGTCCTAGAGTGTTCGCTTTGTTGAAGGTTATGTAAAACAAAGTCCTTGTTCTTAGGAAACCCATGACTCTGAAACACTCAGAGTTAACAGGCCAGGATGGAGGCAAGTCACTCTTAAATGGTGGGGGCAGGGGGGAGAGAGTAGAAACATAAATGATAAAGCACACGAGGCAAAATGTTAAAAAGAGTGAATCTGGATAAAGAGCATATGGTGTTTCACACTATTCTGTCAACTTTTCTGTAAGTTTGAAATTAATTTCCAAATAAAACATTTGGGGGAAAAAAACAACGAAAGGGCCTTCCATTAGACAGGGGCCGGGTGAGGGTGGAGCAGACACAGGGGGCCAATCTGGGGAGGACACTGGTCGTCACGTGTCTGCGCTGGGCTCAAAACTCCCTGCTTCGCCAGGATGTCCCCGTGGACCCATGCCTTCTCTCTCTGGCCCTCCTCCTTTCCCACCTCATCGATTTACGCCTTCCTCTCCCGAGATCGGCAAGCTCCGAGGGGGCCTTCCTATGAATACCGGAGGACGGGACTGATGAATTTTGGGGTATATTCTTATATATAGTTAATATTTCTAGAAATGTTTGACACTTATTTTGTCCACGAGCCCAGAACAATGAGGCAAGCTGTATTTATTAAGCCTTCTAGGCTGTATAAGGCATTTCATTCCCCCTCCAATTTTGTACCTACTGCAGCTCATACTGCCTCACCCCGGGCTTTAGGCCACGTTCCTCCTTTCCGAGATCTCATGTGGGCTTCCCGGGCGGATGCCCCACTCCCCACACCACCACCATCACCAGCATAACCCCCCCTCCCACACCCCCTGTGCAGGCACAGCCTCCCTCCCCAGGTTCACTGTCGTCACAGCTGGCTGTGGTCACTTTAAATGACTCTCAGCCAGACAAGAGTCTCTTGAAGCGGCCTCACTGCGGGCTAAAGGGAATGGAGCAAGCCATCATGTTGTACAAATTCATTTACTTATTAATTCAGAAGTCCTCATATGCATTGTTCACGGGCAGACACGTAGGCTGGATAGGAAAACTGAAGCACAACAGTGGGGCTGGCTGTTTTTAACACATTGGAAATTTACAGATCAGAACGTCGACTACAATACCAGACAGCGGAAAGCTAATCATAAACAGCGACTTACATTCTGGCAGTGCTTTTTACTTGAGTCCTTTCAAGTTCATCTCATTATTCACACATTCATCCACACGTTCATTAAATAACAGTACCTGTCCTATGTCACCTGCTGCAGGCAGAGACCCCGGAAGCACAGAGCCAAGCCTGGGCCACAGGAGGCGGACATTCTCGGTGCTCCTGGACTGCCCAGCTGCCCCACCAGACACATGCTTAGGGTGCCCCCGCGATGGGGCACCGAAGAAAATTATTTCAAAGATGAGAAAAAAAGAGAGACAATCAAAAAGAAGTTCTTGTGTCTTCATCGCACAAGCAAATGTTGTTTCTAAAGCCGTCCTTTTGTATTATAACTCAGAACCATATTGATACATTCTTAATTCCCCACGGGGCCCCAGCCTGGCCAGCACTGAGGGCCTCTAAAAGCTGCCGGCCACCCGGAGAGGAAGCGGAAGCGGCCATCCCAGATGCCAACGAGCAGGCAGCTCACGCAGCAAAGGGGTCTGAGGAAAGCTGGGCTGACAGCACTGGGGAGGGGTTCACTGGGAGGGGGCGAGAGTGCGGGGGATGGAGGCTGACACCCTGACTCTGACTCCAGCGACGGTGGCGTCATTCCCTGAGAAAAGGATCCACGCCGGAGGTGACTCACAATGAGCGAGTGTGTCTGGCGTGCACTGCCTCTGGAAACCCACGGGATTCCAGCCTGGGGCAGGACGGGGACCCCCGCCACATGGAGCGGCACAGAGTGGGAGCCTGCTGGGGAGGAGGTGGGAGGGTGACAGCCAGGGCTGGCAGAGGACAAGGTGTGAGGGGCCTGATGGAGGGCCCGGGAGGCAGAGGGACACCCCAGAAAGGACCCCATCAGGGAAGAGGGGGCAGGAGAGTGTGGGGCAGTGGTCAGTTGCAGAGGCTGGGCCAACAGGGACTGACGGGCTTTAGCAGCACACAGGTCGCTGGGGGCCATCTACGAAGGAGTGACTGCAAAGGGAGGTGACGGAGACTGTGTGTGTGTACACAACCTTTGAGAAATTTGCTTGTGAAGCAAATGAGAAAGCTGCCAGAGAAGCAGAGATGAAGGGTGTCTTTCCTCCCTTGCTGCCTTCCTCCTTTCCTGGGTAAGAGAGACCTGAGGATGTTTAAATGTTAAGAAAAACCGCAGTGAGGGAGAGGGTGGGGATGGACTACATGCTGGGGGTGCACACAGAGGCTCCGGCTGTCCTGAGGTCGTGGAGGGAGCACAAGGAGCCGCCGTCTTGAAGGCCAGCAGGACTTGTGTGTCATTAAAACCCCTTTACAAGAAGGGGACACTGACCTGCGGAGTTAAGGTTGCACAAATCTTCAGGCACAGGTCCCCCAGTTGCTAGTTCTGATCCTTCTTCCAGACCAGGAGTCCTCAGTGGGGCCACCACTGGGACGGGCGGGCCCTGTGTCAGCACCGCGGGGGAGGGGGCACTACGGGTGCTGCCGGCACCCTGACCTCCCACAGCAGCCACACACAGCCGTCTCACGGGACTTCAGAATGGCCCCCTGGACATTCAGAGGTGAAAAGCTTGTTTATGATCATCTGCTTCTAGAACCAAACTCTTTTTCAAATAAACACAGAGGTTTTTTGCCTAGTTTTGCCATGGACTGAATTGCCCGGGACTGCCATTAGAGCAGAGGTCCCCAACCTCCGGGCCACAGACTGGCATCAGTCCAGGCCTGTTAGGAACCGGGCCGCACAGCAGCAGGTGAGCCCGCACCATCCGAAGCCGCCCCCCCAACTCCCAGTCTGCGGAAAAGTTGTCTTCCGCGAAACTGATCGCTGGTGCCAAAAAGGCTGGGGACTCCTGCTTTAGAGTACAAAGGGAGGAGATCCTGTATTTATGTTCTCCGGAACCTCACCGAGGGTGGTTCACCCCTTTGGACAGTCAGGTCAAGTTCAGCGGCATCTCTGCTGGTGCTCGAGTCCCCCACACGGGTAGCCTGGGCTGTGGGCATGTCGCGGCCGCTGCATCCCCAGGGACTCTGTACCGGTTTGGGCATCTGACTTCGTCCTTCATCTTCGTGAGGCCACGTTCAAGCGAACGTGGTACTGTATCCTAACTAACTTGTTCTTCATCTCTCTCTTCTGTGACTGTTAGGGCGTTGCACTGGTGTTTTTAAACTTATGTAAGTAGGTGGATCGCATTATCTATAAATTCTGTTCAGGATAATTCGGAGGCATCACAAATATTTGCTAAATAACAGGGGGCACCATTCCACACCACGCGCACCCAGAGGCAAGAGAAACTGCAGTGCGGGGGAAGTGCGGGGGTGAGTGGAGTCAGGGCAGCTTCGCGTGACCAGTGCCACAGGGTAAATTCATGGTCATCTACGGATGACTCACATGAAGCTCGTGGATGACAGGTATCCTGACAATTTGGCAAATCTGTGGGGCTTACGAAGCCTACTCACATGGGCACCTTTGGGGGATTTCATTTCTATGATTAATTTAAATCATCCCCTACCTCAGCAGTTTCCAGCATTTAATGACTAGAGGTAAAAGACCACAAGTCAATCTGCAGGGGCCAGGGAAATGATAAATGTTTCTACATCCAGAGGCGAAGATGAGATTAGAAGAAGTCAAAGCAATAGGTGCCAGGCTGGGTCTGGGGAATATCTTCTTAATGGACGAGAAGATGAGTAAACAGTTTGTCAGTGGATGCTTAGGGAAATGTATTTATGGAAAATGCTATCTCGTGAGGAACAGTGGACAGGCAGAGGGAGAGAGAGATGATCTCAGAGGACCTCCCATAGGTTAAAAAGTCAGGCCAGAAATACTCAGGGATCAGATTCTGAGAGGGGCTGGTTATTTAATGTGGGGATGGGGGGTAATGAGGCATGAGTTCCCACGGGCATGCCCATCACTGCCAACCAGGGACCTGGGCGAAAACAGACTATGTCCTTCCACTGACAGGGGACAGCTAACTCACTCAGGCATGTGTCGCCCCCCCCCCAACCTGAGGATGCAAGAGGCCTGGGGAGAAAGGAGGGGGCAGCCTGCTGGCTTGCAGTGCTAATGGGATGCCCGCTTCCACTAACCCTCGCCACTCCTCTCCTCTCCTCTCCTCCCAATGTTCTCATCAAAAAATGAATAAAACACAATAGAAGACTTTAGATTCCATCATTGTACATTTTCCTATTGTTTTCATATTTTCCCAGGTGCATTTGTGTCTTTAAAAAGGTTTTAAAACATCGGATCAAAGCAGCCGTGGGAATTTAACAAGCAGAGAGACTCTCAGAGGCATAGCTGCGTCACTTCCCAGAAGTAAGGAGAGGAAGCAGGGTCTCGGGGCTCTAAAGGCTCCCCCACAGGTAGGAAGTGCATCCGGGACCAGTTTACAAGTCCCTCCGGGGAGCTGACTCAGCTAAGAGGCCAGCAGGGC